CGCACCCATACATGCAGGCCTGTAGCCTGGTACACGCGACCCCTGAGATCCAGTGATATGCCTCTTCGACGCCACAGGTGACGCGGATTGAGATTCGTTCGCTGATTTCATCGGACGTTTCCGTCATAACCGACACAACTGCCGAGGTATGTAGAATTCTCCATAACCTCCAGTGTTTCTCCTTGAATCATAAGGTGTACGTTCGAGGACTGCACGTTCTGAGGCATGAGCCGGCAGTTTGGAAGTGTAAGGTGCATGCCAAAAGATGGTACGATGATGGTCAGTCCACTCAACAGGGCTTGTGCGTCGCCTTCGCCTTTAAAGGTAGGAACGAGGTCGTCCGCATACTCCGTATCGACAAGATGCTCACTAGCAACGAGTGGATTTCTAGCCCCACTATCTTCTCCCCGGCTAAGCGATATATGCACGTTTTGCGTAGATCTTGAGTGCTGAATGAAGATCGCCAGCGGGCTAGCGCATGGTCGGAGTCCATGCTGATGTTCCAGAAGGAGCGGCAAGCAGTGATCGACTCTCGCGACCGATAACTGACAGTGATGTGGTCTATTTGGTTTGTTTGTGGGCACCGTGTTGTCAAGCGATTTTCGTACTGCAAAGGAACAGTCTGTGATCGGCACACACCTGAAACAGGCGATCTTCGTTGTCCGTGCGTCTCGTGTCCAACTCAGGACGACCATCTCATCGGGCATCAATCCAGAACCCGGAGGGGAGCAAGGGAACAGTTAGTTCAATTACAGTACTCGCACCTTTTATCCTTATTTCTGACAGACAGCATATATCAATGGAGAGGGAATCCAGTGTACAAGCAAGAGCCACTTGTTCTCCTGCTTGCTGCAGTGTGTGAACATTAGTGGTAGCTACGTTGACCGGGCTTCGGTGTTTGAAAACAAACTTCGAAGTGTGTTGGGTTGTTACTGAAGTCGGACATACAGAAGTTGCAGCTGAGCGTGATGCACGGCGAATTAATCGGTCGGTCCTAGTGCCGGGTGACATTAGGGTAGAATATAGAATACCTGAAGTTAAAAGACGCTAGACGCCAGCAGTATCATGTTACTGCTTGTCTTCCCTGCTGTATCCAGCATGTAAGGCCACTCTGCTGGTAACACAATGCGACGGCCGATTTGGCATGAGTGTTTTTAAGTTGTTAATGTCAGTTGTAAGTGAGCTAGAATACTGCCACAACACCCGCAATAATGAAAAGCCGTTCACCCGTGGCAATTTTCCGGTGCCTAGCATCCATGCTACCCGAAGGAAACACGAGGGATGGGATACTGCTAGGTTGTCTGATCCTAGATAGGTGAAGTCGAGATGCGAAGGTCGGATTGGAGCCATAGACCTACCGGTTAGCGAATTGGCGCTCTAACCACCCGCCCCATCAACGAACGAAACAACAACAAACGAAACAACCATTTGCCAACTTGGCGGATACCCCAGAATCGCTCTCTAGTCACGAATGTGATGTGTTCGAGCATTCCGCTCTTGATAATGCTTGTTATCAGCTTCGTGCGGAAACCATCCAACGGCAGAATAACTGCTTATTCTACTTCAAAGAGGACAGGCACGTGTTGAGTACGTCCGCCAACACCCAAACTGCATTTGATCATCAGCAGTCCCAACCCATAGATTGCGCGTGTGACACATCTACTTCTGTTGTGTGACCGTCAACCTTGGGCCGGAAGATTCAGCAGTTGAATCTCTCGTGAGAACCAAACTGGTGTGCAAATGTGTTTCTTTAGAGACAATAAACCCTCATTTAATGCACGGGATCTGTTGAATATTTCTGCTGCTCTCAGCAACGTACACTATCAAGATGAGCAGCAAGCAGCTGTTCCTCAGATATGGTCTTCTCTTCCGATCGATCCAAGGTGTGTCCCCGAAACATGGATACAAGACACCTAGTCTGGTCGTGCACCCCAAACCGCTCGGAACAAACCCAGTTTTATTGCACTTTACTCCTTGGGTTTTAAGTGATCCTAATGCAATAACCTGTGGTGTCCAAGAAGAAGAAGCGTTCAGCTGTAGCACCCTTCCGGTGCCTAGCTGCCATGCCACCCGAAGGAAGCACGAGGGCTGGGATACTGCTAGGTTGCCCAGGCCTAGACAGGGGAAGTCGAGTGGCGGAGGTCGGATTCGAACCACGGACCTTCCGGTCAGTAAATTCGCGCTCTTAACCACTTGGGCGATCTTGCCCATATGGTGTCCACGGTGTGGAGTCGTGCTTAGCCCCATGGCTGAGTGCTCTACAAACATTCATTAGAAGACAACGGCGCCCATTCGCATTACGGTGCGTTTCAGTGGCTACATGTGAGCAGGCCGTTCCACCCACCATGGATGCAGGGTTCTATGGCGAGTTCGTATATCCGTCAGCGGAATTGATACACGTTGGTGTTATCTACTTCCAGACAGTTTTTACACAGTGCTTCAGGTTCGTAAAGTCTCTAGCCTGGAAAAGGCGTTCTGAAACCTGGCTCAACGGCTTTTCAATTTGTATGTGCGTTATACGACGTGCCCTAGTTCGGACGGTCACTCGCGGGCTTCATCTTGCCAACTTAGAGCTTTGTCCAGCAATACCCACCCACAAGGCAGTGTTTACTCAATTTACGTATTGATGTTTGCCAAGTGAGTGTATACGCAGAACTCAGCACACGGTAATCATACTACCTTCCCGCATTTACTTACTCAAGACATCGTACTCAGTATACTGTTGCAAGTGTTCCCCTTTACCCTTACGCTGTTGCATAGTGATCAATGGAGGAATTATGCTGGGGAGTTTTGAATCTACCTTGATTTCATGATACTTCCTCCGCTTCCTCCGCCGATGTACTTTTGATCTCCAGTTGTTTTGCTTACTAATCGTGGGCTTATTCGTACCTGCCACTCACCTCGCCGCAGAGGCCATCCCGTCCGACACTTGGGTATTGGCATGTGTGTCTGCGCAGCTGACCTACTTACCGTGCGCGTTCATATCCCGTTTGCCTGTATCCAGCACTATCCTCTTTTACAGAAGAGATGCTTTGATAATGTCGTTCCCGGTTCGCCCCTATCAAAACCAACTACCATTTGCCCGCTTCCACGACTGACCTTTGCAAGGTTCGCTGCATCCCGTCCACACGTGCGACACGCCCCATAGCTTGCCTGATCTGACAGCGATGTGTCTTCGGCATATGGCCTAACTACATGACTTATGCACGTCGTCACGTGCTCTGTCTAGCCAAAAGCGGCTTGGTGGCGCTGATTGTATTTTGCTTTCCGCTACTAACTGGAGGGCAGGTGCACGTAACCCGGTTGCTGGACATTCGCTGTCTCCGCGCAATACGCTTTTGTCCCCGCACTAGGCGGGCGAGAATGAATAAGCATTTGCTGACTCAGGCATTTCGACCAGACATTTTCCCGTACCGAAATGCAATTTCTCAGGTGAGTGGAAGAAAATCATACTCTCCTTTGAATATCGAATGAAAAATCATCCAGCTGTAGCACCCTTTCGGTGTCTAACTGCCATGCGACCCGAAGGTTGCACGAGGGCTGGGATACTGCCAGGTTGCATAAGTATAGACAGGGGAAGTCGACAGGTAGAGGTCGGATTCGAACCACGGAACTTCCGGTCAGTAAATTCGCGCTCTAACTACTTGAGCGATCTCGCCCCCAAACGGAAAATAATCATCCTTTCGGTGCCTAGCTGCCATATCACCCAAGGGACGTACGAGGGCTGGGATTCTGCCAGGTCGAATAGTGATGTAATATCGAATAATAATGCAAAAAGGCCTTGGCAGTCACGGGCAACTGTTGGGCCCTCGGCGTGCACGGTTTTTATGACCGGAGGAAGACGCAGATACCGCTTCCACAGCTGTTAAATTGCTGGTCGTTCAGAGGGAATGGCTCTATACCTTTGTTGGATCTGCATTCAGACAATATCGCAATACAACTACTCGTGTCACTGAGACGTGCTTCTCTTTATACGCTCCCTTCTGACTCTTCTGGCATGGCCGCATTTTGAAAAACGAAGTTCCAGGCAGTTTGGCTCACAGGATCGTTGCAATGCTCAACCTTCACCACCGCTTCAGGCTGGCCCGATCTGCTACGTTCACGGGTGATCTCGTAGCTGCTATCTATGTTCCGCGATCACACTACGTACACTTTGCTGGTGATGATAAGTTCTGAGGATGAAACTACAACAACCTATCCAGACAACCCCACCACACAGCCAGTCCAGGGCTAGAGGAAGCGTTGCGGATGTTCACCATTAACGTGGCGACGAACTGTGAGAAGCGGCACTTTCAGACCTGATCTGTTTGAGTTGTCTATGAATAAGTAGTAAATAGTATAAAGAGTATGAATAGGTGGTAAATCAAACGTCTCTACCACGTGTTCCATTCACCAATTTGCTTTGCTTTACAGTGGTCTGAATTCCCACCTGAGATGCCTGTAATTTGACACAAAATGCGGCCTTTTCTAACCGTGTTACCTGAGAAGTACAGGTAAGTCTAATCACACATACGTCGTCCACATTGTCCCTGCGACCAGTGAGCGGAATCTCATGTCCAGTATGATGGGGGTCATTAACGATTACGTACCCCTCAGTTCGGGCCGCCATTCTAGTCTGGACGAGCAGGTTCTGTGGTCAAGATTCGAAGATTGCGATATGAACAGTAAGGCAGAGGTTTACCGCCCCCAACCGATGGTAATTTCCCACAGATACCACAATTCCATCGCGATTGATATTCCCGCTCGTGTTGTCTATCGGTACCTGTGAGAACTTTTACTTTTGGGGGTTAACTGTAAGTCAGCGATTTCCGGCTCCTCGCAGTGGTTCCCTGTTCTTCTAGTTCGATGGGAAAGCCAACCTTTTATTTTCCGAGAGAAATTCATCCACCATCGATTCAAAGTTATTGCCTACCCCCACAGGTAATTGTTGCCTTACCCTGTGAACTTTCTCTGCTTCACTATCAGTCAAAAACAGTGCATACAGTGACAAGCGCCCCATTATGGCACTTTGTGACTCCATTGGGTAGGTGTTTCACTTTAGCCACCGTATTCTTTCAGCCGCAATTGCTGTCAATGGCAAGTACGATTTGTATCGCTTGTAGATTACAAATCGGTCCAAACGCTCTATTTCGAATCCAAAGCGCTATCGGTCGACGCCAATTCCAGGTTTGTTTACCCGAAAACTCCATTTCGTTACCCTTAGATTTGTCGCGGTGACGCGGACAGATTCGATAACCATCTTGGATGCCAATTCATTCTTGGAGTGCTTCACCATTGCCTGTATGTTTATATCACTCAGGTGGTATATAGAGTCTTTCTGTAGGTGTTAGACCGACGGTCTGGTCCAACGGGAGCCCGAAGAACATTCCTCATTCGATGGGAGTGCGTTGGTTTGCATTTGCGGACGCCAAGGTAGGTTCAGGAAAGAGGTCATCCGAGTTTTTGATCACGCTAGCTGTATTTAAACGACCTTTAACCGGCTTTGCCTGTCATATTTGATCGTTTGCCTCACCTCGCTGCCGCTCACGGAAACGGCCGTTTTCTGTACTCTTAATGAATACATCCGACAACATTAATGTCGCGGAAATCATCATCTATGGAATCACTTGCAGTGCGGACAGACCAGAAGAGGGTCACTCAGGAACTATCAATGGGCCGTGAGAGTGAATGCCACTCGCTAAGACGGACTGTATTCTTCGCCGGACTGTATTCTTCGACATGTGTGTTCCATTGAGATCGAAGATCTTGCATGCAGCCTGGCAATTTCATTCCAGGCAGGACACGAACACCAAGCGACCTACTTCTGGTCAGAGTTGGTGGGAAAGAGGAACAAACAAGATGAAGTAGTCACCATCCATTGTCGTTGTGATGGATACCCACAGAACGTGGATGTCTTAGGCTGTTTTGATCGGCTCCTAGTCGACCATCCCTGGCGTTTTTGTCTCTAACTAAAACCACGATGTCTGTTCAACTCGTATTTATCTGTATTGGAGCTAAAGTTGCTCGGTTCATATGTTGTTACAGCAAAACAGAGCCTTAGTTCCTCGTGTTTTACTGATCGACGCTGGGGGTTGAAAAACTTGCTTGTGTAATAAATAAAGGAGGGTGCAAGAGTAGCGGAGAGGGTTTCGAAGCATGTCGGTAATAGGCATGAATCATTAGCGAATATGCACTCATTTGCAAACTAATTTGGTTTTTCGAGAGACTCACCTGGAACCCAGCTGAATCTCTCGTTTGTGATGTTCTCGGGCGAAACCGGTCGTGGACTGTCGATGGATTTTCAGCAACCTTATGAGTAGTACATTACAAAGATAGCCACGAGTCATGGTTTTACTCTGGACTTTGTACCTCCCCCCATTCGGACGCGGCTACAATAGCCATTTCAATGACCTCGACCGTACAGGGAATCGAGCTGTCAAATGATTTAGCTTGCTAGGCAAGTATGTTCCGGCCGTTTTGAACCTTGAGAAAAGCCGCATACGAATGCGTTCACGGAGAATAATTCGGGCGTGTACGGGCCCTCGGGCAGCGATGTAACTTACCCGTCTCTCAAGTCAGTCTCCGGACGGTATTCTCTGCTGAGGCCGAAATTCGAGTCCATTCCTTCCCCGCTCTGGTTTGGACCACTGGGAAGCATCAGCTGGGGACTTGATGGAAGCTATTCAGGCGAGAGCGATGTGGATGCATTTTCAACGAATGCCACTACTTTCAACAACGATTTAGTTGTATCAGCCAACTTAAAAAAGGGGCGTATCACAAAATTCCCAAGATCCTTTTCAACTGTCTGCCATGCAGAGTAAAGAGACGACATTTCCTCCCTATCTTTTCCTATCTACCTAGTCGAACGAAGGTTGTACAGAATGGAGATCCAAAATAATTACTCGGTATTTCTGGGATTGGGGCTTTATTTCACCGGCTTCTTCAATCCAACTGGTGCGGATACGCAACATTCAGAATAGGTACTGAGTCTCAGTGGTTAGAGCGCGGATTTACTGACCCGAAGTTACGTGGTTCGAACCCGACCACTTCCTCTCAACTTCCTTTGTCTAGGCTTGGCCAATCTGGTAGTATCTCAACCCTTGTGCTTCTTGCGGGTGGTATGACAGCCAGGCGTCTAAAGGGTGTTACAGTTGACCGTACTAGTTTCACCCCGCGATGGTAGTTTTTTCGTGAGTTCACTCTACGTACCGTGAGCAGCTGCACCATGAGTTCATAAATCGGAAAATTCGACGATTTGACTATCCAACCTGGCTCTTTTTATAGATCGATACCCGTCAACAGTTCCGGAGCAGAGGACAAAGCCAACTTGTATGTTGTCACGCCAGTCGGGTTGTGATGTCCGTTAAGTCACGCGAATTGTTTGTTTGTTTGTGTTCTCTACTTTCAGTAGTCAAGCTTTGTTTTCGTCATTCAGGCACCGCTTGAACTTTATCACGCTTTGTTTGCGTAGGCAGATCGGTTAACTCGTGATCAATAGCTTTTCGACCGTAATCCAATCGGTTCATTTTCACAGTTGTATCATCGTCAACATTCGTCTTGGCGTCATCCAGGACAGGCCATATTTAGGCAGTTCGTATACCACTAGTTGCTAATTAGCGTAGTTTTTTCTAAGCAGTAGAACATCTATTCCTGTGTACATCATTACAGCGACTACTGACTCCCATATTCACACTGGTTTAGTCAAACAGGACTACCGTGCTCAAGTGCGCATGAATGTGATTCGCGTGACCTCTGAAGATGTACTGTTATGTCTACGACTCCTTGTTGCGTTCAAAGACCTATTTGCTTGACAGGCTGTTGAAATTCCTCATGGTTTGCCCCGTTGTAAACAACAAGCAAGTTGTTTGGTCAATTTAAGTATGGGCTGTCTTCCAAAAGCAGCACTCTCATCATAATAAAACAGACAGATTATGATCGAAGGGCTATTAAACGTTTGACCGGCGACTACCCCCTCCCGATGCGAAATCAACGTTTGGCCAGTTCCTATGGTTCCATCTGGGACCGAAGGTCAACAGCGCGGTCAGATCACCGCCCCCTACGTTCTTTAGAGGTTAGATGAGCAGAAACCCCAATACAAACAAATGGGAATAGGGGGTTGCATTCTGTACATTCGTCGAGAAACATCGGGACGTGGTTGACGGCGTGCATATCCTATGAAATAGTCTTGATGTACGTACAGAGCGATACCGAATCAATAGGCACCCATGGAACCGCTTCTTGAGTCCTATGCAATCAGATTATCGGCTCTCTAATCCAGCTTGCTTAGCTGCACAACCTCGTAGCTTCGAGGCCCAGAAAATGTCATTCTTTCAGCTTGAATGCACAACCAGACGTTACAGCTCGCATGCCAGCAAACTAGTCAGTTAGTATCCACCATTTTGAGTTCTCAATCCTCATAATTGTTTCTTCTTAAGGGCACTCTTGCACCGCTTTCACTAGCAAACTCGCCATGAAGCTTTCAGCATATTTGCCACATGATTTTGTACCATATTCCACACGGTTTGTGTGTTTGTGCCCCGTTCTTCGGGGGGCAACCAAGCGGTGTTTATATGATTTCATTCGTACTGAGAATGTAGAGTTCAGTGGATATAGGTGTTTCGGCACACGTCTCAACTAGCTTTCACAATCGCAAATTACTGAACAAACATAATCAGAATACAGAAAGTCAGGGTCTTTCATCAGAATGAATAGTGGTCAGTCGGCAGGACTCGAGTTCATCCTTCATCGGTCAATCGATAGCCAGTTCGGTCGGATTGATTGAGACAACCGTTTCTGCGTACACAGAGTTGAACTCAGTGGTCTAATGGAGATCGATTCTGCCGCGTTCTAGACCAAACGTGTTCCCCCTTCTGAGAGAAGCGTCTGCTCGTGCGATCGATATGGCTTACGGAACACTGAGTAGACTACCACTGATGAGTCTGGGAGTTGTCTTTGAGATTCTTACTGAGAAGTGGTGAACTGTGAAACGAAAGCTTTAATTTAGTAGTATTAAGCGTCTCCTGGGTGACCGTTTCATTTTATTTGTAATAGACTTGTCCCAGATAACTGGAGAGAATCGGTGATAGTGCCCGTTTTCAAAAAAGGGGCATGTAGTGAGTGATGATGCCTGGTTGGAGACACTGCAAGATATGAATGCCAACCGATGTCAGTGGCGTTCTTGTTGTCAGTTTCTATCCAAATTGTCTGAGTGAGTGTCTGGAGGTATAGGCACCTCGGAATGACTGTGGTAAGCTAGCACTAAGTCCCTTCCCCGTCCATCTTTGCTCTTCACAATAAGGCTTCCAAATAAATCATGCTTATACGGCAGTGAAGCATGGGTGTTGAACACTGATGTCATGCTGTCGATGATGATGATGATTATGATGAATAGATTCAAGGGCATCTGTTTGATGAGCACCATTCTGTTTCCTTATCTGGACGTGCTAGGACGGTCGCCCTGGGAGATGTTTGATGTTTCTGAGCTAAAACGTTCGTTCTTTTTTCGTTGATTTTACTTCCAGTTGCACGGCTCACTCCTGTTAGTGCATCAGAACTTGCTTACCACACCCCTCGAAGGGGTCGATCGTTTCCGTGGAGTTCATGCCGTATACGATGACATAGTCCAGTGTTTTTACGCTTGTTTTTATCGGCATAGAAACTCGGCCGAGTCGAATAAAGGCGGTCATAGTACGCGGGGCAATAGATGTTTACTGAGACGCACGTTGTGAAGACGTTTCCCACCAGAAAACCTCTCAGCGTGGTTCACCTTGTTTTGCTCATCTTTTTGTTTAAATTGATCCTCTTAGAAAATACTCAACCTGACAGTACAATCATTCTAACGCTTTCTCTTCCAGCCCGTGTACCATCATCTCTCTCGTTGTGGGGATGCCAGTTCGGATGAATCCCAACCGCTGAGTTCGACCGTCTTGAATGTGAACAAGGTGAGTATTTCGGAATCTCGATTCCGTTCGCCCTCCCCACCCTCTTAGGGACAAAGATTCGAGCCAAAGACCTAACTTAGACTACAGTCCCCTTTTTAGTAGTTCACAATGCCGTCCAACCCCTTGATATTGCGTTTGGTCATTTTATCGATTTGTATTCATGCCGTGTTAGGTGTCCGCCTGTTCTACTCCCTATTTGTGCGTTTGTGGACACGTGCTTGTTCGATTCCCTGTCTGATCACGTGTCGAAATGATCGCCCAATATTAATTCAATCAATCAACCAACCGGCGCTCCGCCATAACCCAGGTATCCTCAACCGTAACGCGGTCATTCGCGCTGTTCAGGAGCGATGGGAGACCCACAGATTTCAACCACCGTAAAACCCATTAGTGTTCCTACTCGTCTACCGAATAATTACCGAGTTATTGCTGATGACGGCTTCGTGGTCAAGACCGCAAGAGGCGTTTCATCTTGTTTTGGTTCTGTAGAAACGAAGCCGTGAAATGTTGTATTTTGTGACAATAGTCTCCGTTCCCAGTCAATGCACCCCACGATGTGTTCGAGGCCCAAACGGGCTTTCCATTGAGATCCGGGAAGATCAGAAAACCAAGGTTGAAACATTTCCATATTACTCGCCGTGTGGAACATTTCAGCTCGTCCTAAGCGGCCTGGGGTGCACGACCGGAGTGCTGGGGTCTTGTAGGCCTGCTCCGGAGACACAACATACATTGACAGAGAGTAGAAGCAATGCTTCAGCGAGGGATGCCTGTTGCCCGATTCGACATGGGGCGAGATGGCCCAAGTGGTTCGAACCTGACCTCTGCCTCTCGACTTCCCCTGTCTAGGCTTGGGTAACCTGGCAGCATCCCAGCCCTTGTGCAACCCACGGGTGGAATGGAAGTTAGAAACTGAAAGGGTGCTACCGCTGAACAATTTCTAACGATTCGACATAGTGTACGGTCGGGTGGTTGGGGGAGTGGCAGTTTTGGCTATTCGTAATGCATTGTTTGATGGTGGGGAGAGGGGAATGTGAGCGAAGAGCTACCAGGAACATCGGATTGGTGATGCTGATATACGCCAGATGGTCCTAAGAAGAATGAACTCTCCTGCGATAGATGAATCACTCACGCTGGTTATGACGTGTACTCCGCGTGCCAGAAGACCATCTATATCAAAGAGCCCTTTCTGCCCAGCCCTGTACTGAGTTCATGGATGAACGACCGAGAGGGGGGTAGTGTATGACCTGCAAACGAAGTGTGAAAACACTAGTCAGTCAACTCAGTGGGGTCGACAACTGCCGCCTCCCTGGATGGGGACCCCGGGACTCAACTCATCAATCGTTAATGACACTGGCAGAAATGGCCAAATCGCGCAGTCAGTGGCACTCGTGCATCAAAACTATCGCTTGCAGTGTGTGGCTACTCAGTTCCCGACCCAACTGAACGTGCCATCGCCTCCAATGCTTGGCCGTATCTCCCATACCCTCCTACTGTAGCAGCTGGAATCAATGTGCCTATGGTGCACGGTCCATGTCTGATAAGTTGATTGAAATTGAATAGCATTCGACACATCGAAAACCTGTCCAGATCAGGTAGGTTTGACGGATTGGCCAGTCATTAGCCGGGTGGAGGACCTTCACGTACTCTCTGTCACATCTCGAATTTGGCCTGATGTGAGCTGAGTGTGTATGACTCATGAGGTTGCATGCTCGACCTGTGCAACTGAAGTCGATCTTGGCACACTGATAGCTTCCACACCAGGCTTCACTCCCCTCTTGGTTCTGTCATCCAGCGGCGCCAAGACCCCGCTATCGGGGATTCCGACAAGTACACTCATTTGCATGCCAGTTCGGTTTTCACGGGAGACTCACCCGATGTTTTCTTGACAGCACTTCTCATAGTGTTACCGAAACCTCTTCGACGGCCCACAGTTTACTTCACGCTTCTTGGGACTTCAGACTATTTTTCAGAATGACGTTCGCGGACGACAACTGATACAGGGAATTCCACAGTGCGGCCTTAATCGTTCCCGGTGTAAAGCATTCCAGCTGACCATCAACAGCCTATGGGGCCGTGAACTAACTGACTGTAAGCCGTATACAGGGTGGGTTCAGCGCCCTCATCGTTCTTGGATCAGTTTCTTGGGTTTCGAATGACGCCATCGGGAGTTTCAACAGTTGGACTGCGCTGCAAGCAGAGGTAGTCAGTCGCGCAACGCATTCATTTGTACCGATACACCCACACGGGGGTGAGATGGGCCAAGTGGTTAGAGCGCGAATTTACTGACCGGAAGGTCCGTGGTTCGAACCCGACCTCTGCCTCTTGACTTCCCCTGTCTAGGCTTGGGCAACCTGGCAGTATCCCAGCCCTCGTGCAACCTTCGGATGGCATGGCAGTTAGGCACCGAAAGGGTGCTACAGCTGAACGATAAACCCACACAACTCAAGTCGGCTACAGGTTTGAGTGAATAAACGAGGAGGGAACATGGAGACTAAACTAACATGTCTTGCATCATCACCCCGCGCGTGCATTTCATGGAATAAATCGAGATAAAATTGGTCACAATCTTCCCCGTCACTGTATTCGCCTCCACACATCTTTAGGGTTTATTCCGCGTCTGCAAACACGGACAGAGTAACAACACTGTCTGTCTACGCGGAGAGAGTGGCTGAAAGCGGTGAACGATTCTGAACAGGCGTGGCGATTCACTTTGGCGACCGGAGCCTCTTAGTCGGCTGATGTCAGTCCCTACTTGACCGTGGCATTATCATACATACACTGTGACCACATCACGTGGTTCGCTCTCTTCAGTTCCACGGAATCGAATGACTGGGAGTGTCCTCATGCATATTCCAAAATGTCCACTTCTCAATAGTAGCGTGGAATCTGGAAAACTTGGAAGAGAGAATCGGGAAACTTTTCGGTTCCAATGTTGGAAATCGATCGACCTGTCCGTAACTCAATGTTACCTCCGCCTTTGTTCTACTCGTGAGCCAATTTTCGGCTGTGTGACAGGATCGACCTCGTTGTCATCATCAGAGTAGAGTAACGAACATTCTCCCCGCTCCACTGATTCAATTCGCTAACTGCACTACATTCCGTAATCGGTGGCAAGAACATCGCCGAATACATACCACAACCACGAAAAACGGTGGGCGGAAGGTGTGAGAGCGTTCTCATCATGAGGTGGGTTTTATTTCGTCTTCGGTTGGATAGCGGTAGTTTTCTGGATGGATTGTGATCCTTGGGCTTTTTTAGACAGGATCTTGATAGAACAGATCTAATCGGTTCCGATTTTTTCGACTTCAAAGAAGCCACCTCCCTCCAAGAGGAGCACACCCCTATCATAAATATATGTAAGAATAACCGGCGAAGCGGAGCTTCAGGGAACTTTCCTGAACGATCAGGAGGATTTTTCACCCATTCAGGAGGGAGGGGTGACCTTATGGTCAGTTGTCTACCCATCCCGTCGGTTATGAGTAAAGAGGGGCGAAATGGCTCAAGTGGTTAGAACGCGAATTTATTGACCGAAAGTTCCGTGGTTCGAACCCGACCTCTACGTCTCGACTTCCCCTGTCTAGGCTTGGCAACCTGACAGTATCCCAGCCCTCGTGCTTTCTTCGGGTAGCATGACAGCTAGGCGCCGGAAGGGTGTTACAGCCGAAAATGAAGAAAGCGAACTTATGCGCGACTATATGCGCAGACGCAGGTCATTCGTGCGATTACAACGATAGTAATGAATCTACAATCTGACTGGTTCGTCTGGGCTATGGCTGAAGATGCACGTCAATCAATACGCACGCGGCCGCGTGGGTGTTTTTATGGCCATGACTCCTTCCGGTCCGCCTAATACCAAGCAAGGCCTCAGGTCATGCATATCTAGAATGTCGTGTAAACTGAAACATCCGACGGGGGGGGGACAGGCTCTAGGCCGCACATCCAGTTGGAGGTTCATTTGCCACTGTTTGTTCGTCACGTGCGCGAACTTGTTCAGCGTTGTACAGTCGTAGCCGAGATCTTTCACTGTCCGCACGATGGCCGAGCGGTATGTAAACTCGCTGCACGTGGGCCTGTGCCACGTCATACATCTCCCGAGCATTCGGCCAGCTATCTCAAGTGTCTTGTCCTCAGACGCACTTTCCCATCAGTGCCATTTCGCTTGTCTGAGCGTGCGCGATGTGTCCTCCCAGCCTACAACAAGATCACAGTTTGAAAACCCCCGACCACCTGCTTAGTAGTCCACCCTAGTAGTTGATGTGACACTCAAAGGAGAAAAAAATCGTTCAGCTGTAGCACCCTTTCGGTGCCTGACTGCCATGCCACACGAAAATTGCGCGAGGGCTGGGATACGGCCAGGTTACCCANTGTAGCACCCTTTCGGTGCCTGACTGCCATGCCACACGAAAATTGCACGAGGGCTGGGCTACTGCCAGGTTGCCCAAGCCTAGACAGGGGAAGTCGAGAGGCAGAGGCCGGGGTCGAACAACGAACATTCGGTTCAGTAAATTCGCGCTCTAACCACTTAGACCGTCTCGCCTCCCCCAAAGGAAAAACCCTAACTGAATCCTCACTGAGTGGAACAAAAAACCGCAGGGAACAAGGCTTGTTCTCAGCGATATTCACCAGGCTGAATAAGTGAAAATAACCGGTGGTCACGTGTAGTCAGGTTACTTGCAGATTCCCACCGGAAAAAGGGATTCACTGAAAACGGGTGGCATCAATGTTAAGTCTGGAGGTGTGATTATGAGTCAACACAAGTGGGAGCGCAGGGTTCTGGTGTGCGTTGCAAAATTCCAACGAACTCCCACAGTCCCCGTGATCGTCTTAGATGTACTCGGCACATGGATTGAAAGGCACTGACTTCCTTCTTAGACTGATCTGTCTCCGCTAAATGTGAGGCGGTAGCGCTTTATCCAAGGTCGGATTAGCAATGCTAAGGTACGCTAGATGGTTTTGGGCGGATGGGACTCTCCCACGATAGATGATTTACTCACCCTCCATGGATTGCGCCCTAGGTAGGACATGTACTTCGAATCCCAGAGGACCGCCTACCTCACAGAACTCTTTTCGCGCAGTCCTGTGCTGAATAGAAGCGATCGAATGGTGGACAGTGTATGAAGTACGCAGCCACCAGGCAGTCAACTCAGTCTGGTCGACACCTGCTACTGCCGTGGATGGGCGGGACCCCATGACTCAACCCATCAATGGTTACTTTCACTGAGAGACATGGCGAGTCAGTGGTGCCTATGCATAAAAACTATCACTTTCAATACGTAGCTGTCCATTTTCGCGAACTGACTGGTTCCTTGTCTCACAATCCATTGAAATAAGACTGTGTTCACGTATTCTACTTGACGAAGGCCTCGTCGTACAACCAATCTATGGTGTTTGATACGAGCATGCAAATGGGTCCTCGCAGAAGTCGTCAGTGTTTCAGCTGAAGTCTGATGACAGGGGTGGGGTTCCGATCTTTCAAAAGAACTTGGGAAAAAGTTGAAATGTTGAGTCCCAATGCTGGATCTGCAACGCAAAACAATTCTTGGACAAATTGAAGGACACAAATCGAAGAAGAAGAAACACTGGTCCTCAAGTTCGCGCAAAGCATCCAGCGACGTTAACTGCGGTGGTCCGGTTACATGCTACGCGTGCTGAAACATCGTCTAACGAGACGAGTCTTGTTCTCCTTACGTCCTGCAGAATGGTCTAAACTGCGAGGCAGACAACGGGTGATTTGGCCTAAAGGTGTTGTTGGCGCGGTCCGCCTTCCAGGATAAAGTATGCCTGATCCTGGCCGCGCTTGGCTGGATACATTGCACGAAATGATGGCCAATCGATGTCAGTGGTGTTCGTGCTGTCAGCTTCTTTCTAGATTGTCTGATTGAGCGCTTGGATGTGTAGGCATCTCAGAATACTCCTGATAGGTCAGCCAGGATAGGTCCCCCATCCGCTCTTTACTCTTTCAACTCTAAGGTTTTAAATGTACCTAGGGGCGAGATGGTCCAAGTGATTGGAACGCGAATTTACCGACCAGAAGGTCCGTGGTTCGAACCCGACCTCTGCCTCTCGACTTTCCCTGTCTAGGCTTGGGCAACTTGGCAGTATTCCAGCCCTCGTGCTTCCTTCGAGTGACATGCTATCTAGGCACCGAAAGAGTACTGTAGCTGAGCGACATTTCAGGCAAACTCTGGTTGTACGGTGGCGAAGTTCCAGCGTCAGCATTGATGCTTCTGTCCCCGTTGACATTTCAACTTTGGCTAACTACTGGATAGCCGTGAACTTCCAAGTAGATCTTTAGAAAAGGAAGACATATACGAACTGTTCTTCAACCTTTGTCGGACCACATATTTTAAATCCGACGAAGAATATAACGAACAAATGAGAGGTGCGCCGAGGATATTGCAGTGCACAGGCTGGAACCAATCGCACTTCAAAATCCAACTCTCCAGTTATGGTTCCGTAACGTAGATGATGCCATTGTCATCAACACGAATGAACTGCAGAGAAGAATTAGTTCTTGAACAGCGTTTTCGATGACAATAAATTCTCAGATATAACAGATTGGCGACGGGAATGGGTTGGTGGGGAAGCAACACGCGTGATGCCGCATCTCCGAACGAATTCGCCAAACTGATGGGATGTGAACTGAGTACCATTGTCGGACCCAATAGTTTCCGGGATACCGAATATTGAAAACAAATATCGCAGTTTAGTGATGGTTGCCATCGTTGTCGTCTCCGACATAATAAAGACTTCAGGCCACTTACTGAATGCATCGACAACGATGAGGAAGCTTTGTCCGTTAATTGGTCCGGCAAAATCCACATGGATGCGCGACCATGGTTTTTCTGGCTGTGGCCAAGGCTGAGGTGACTGTCGGTTGGGTAACTTCTGGGCAGCTGCGCAACGGAAACAACTCCGACATAACTGCTCAATGTGCTCATCCATACCGGGCCAGTAGACATAGCTGCGAGCAAGAGCCTTCATGCGGCTTATCCCTGGATGTCCACTGTGGAACCGTGCTAGGACTCGGTGGGAATGACGGTTTGGTCATCAAACAGAGGACAGCCACTGACAACAGATAATGAACTCCGGGGTTCCCCTGATGGATAGGTTGTTGACCAGGAGGATTGGTGGGACTCCATTGTCATTTTTGGCAACATCTCGGACCGTGTCAAAAGTCACGGGTAGTTGGTTCATGCTCTCTCCAACACCACAGCACGGACTTCCTGTTCGCAAGCAGCGATTGTCATGACGGTGTCTTCTGGTTCCAACTCAAGGGGAGCAATTGAACGCACTGGCGCCTCAACCTGCCCAATTTTCTCCGTTGAGGCATAAAGTTGCAGTCGAGCAGAATCATGTCCCACCGTTGTAAGTGGTTGGCTGGGATACCTCTTTTTGAACCGGATATAGCCAACAGTGGTTTGTGATTCGCCACAAGCGTGAATTGTCGGCCGTAAAGCATTTTTTGGAACTTTTCCACCCCAAAAATGATGGCTACCGCTTCGTTCTCAGTTTGACCGTAATTCCGTTCAGCTGGAGCCAGCGACCCTGCGGCATGAGTGATCGCCTTTTGCGTGCCACCCAAAAATGCTACCGCTTCGTTCTCAGTTTGACCGTAATTCCGTTCAGCTGGAGTCAGCGACCTTGCGGCATGAGCGATCCCCCTTTGCTTGCCATCAGGGAATGTGTGACCAATGGCCGCACCGACTCCACGGTTCGATGCCCCAGTTCTGAGAACGATTGGCAGTTGGAGTTTGAGGTGCGTGAGTTGAAGAAACGGGTATTCTTGAATGTACTTACTGCCAGAACAGCCAGTTGACAACTCATATAAACTAACAAATCTTGGTAACCGCTCTCGAGCTGTCAAAAACAAGACTGCATCCGGACACTTTCCAAGCCGGTCGAAAAAATTAAAAAATGTTAAATTCTGTCTGAGCAGTGGTTATCTGAATACCTTTGTTTGGTACTTTTATGCTGCCTCTGTGTCGAGCAACGGATGAACCACAGTCACGTGTCGTCATCACCAAGCTGTTATCTGCTTGCTGCCAGGTTCCTCATCAAATTTGTTGGTAAGTGTTCGGAAACCTTCTGAGCAAGGCACCGCTCCGTTCTACCTACCTGTACTGTCGGTGCTACTCGCCTTCCAGGATGGGGACCGCGTGATCCTCACTGTGCCTGGTTGGAGACACTGCAAGATATGGCTGCCAACCGATGTCAGTGGCGTTCTTGTTATCAGTTTCTATCCAGATCGCCTGAGTGAATGTCTGCAGGTGTAGGCACTTCGGAATGACTGTGGTGAGCTAGCACTAAGTCCCTTCCCGTCCACATTTGCTCTTTCCTTTACAATAAGGCTTTCCAATAAATCATGGTTGTACGGCAGTGAAGCATCGGTGTTGAACACTGATGTCATGTTTTCGATGATGATAATGATGCAGATTTCATTGCAATTGGTTGCATAGGTGACGTACGCGGTGGAGTGATTAGGCACCACAGTCTTGGGCTTAGTCTAAAACATACTTTCTCTGGCTATAGGGACCAAGCGTAAATGAGCAACTGGATTCGTACAGATTTGAGTTTTTGCCCTGTCTCACGCAGTACAATGTCCCTATCCCTGAGCCCAGCTTGATGTGGCCACTGATCCAGTTTGATCTGGGTGCCCCTTTTCTCTAAACGCGCATTTCATATGTTCCGTAAATGACGGCTTGCGTGTGTCAACGCGATAACCATACCTATACTCTCACATCCATGAGCCGGTAGCCACGCCCACGCGTTGTGCACTCTGCAAATGTTACCGGGGCACTGATCTATATTTGTCTTGCATGCCAATAACCGCAGCCCACGCAGGGTTCCAGCGACAGTCGTCTGTGCGAAACATGAGCAATCGAAAGTAAATGAAGCAAGGTTCAGTTCAGCTTACAGACCGTGCACTGAAGTGCGGTGATTCCAGCACTGCCACAGCTTTGTTCACTGAATACGGTAGTGAGAGCCGCACGTTGAATGAGATGATTCAATCTCTGCATTGATGACAACTGGATCTGTGTGCCATGCTCAGTATACCATTGCAACGGTGGATACTACTGATGAGGCATGCGAGTAGTGTCTTCTCCTAAATCCGCCTCGCGTCTCTTGGAAAGTGAGATCTATTACAGAGTCGCTTTGTGGCATTTGCTTGCAATTGAGTAACAGTCAATGAATATCCAGGAAAGTTCAGGAAGACGCGTTCAAGAAGATGGATATTCAGTTTTGTAAACAAGATGCATATGAGAGTTTCACTCCCCTGTCCAATAGTCTGTAACTGTTCAGTTAGTGTTTCTCTCTCCAATAAACAACTCCGCAGCAAAGGCCTTCTTCCTGTGGCCTGTGCTTTGGTACCATTGACTGAGTCGCACAGCCATATCTGTTAGGGGGCACTAACCGTTGTTTTTTCTTCGGAGATCAAGTACGGAATCTCAAAAAGTCTTTCACATGCAGCGGTCACGTCTCTGGCCCATGAACTCCGACAGATCGCACCTTGGAACGAAAGGAGAACGGCAAACAGTCGTGTTATCGCTATGGCTCATGTCATCGGCAGCACTCAAGGTCACATTGTGTGGCTAACTGACAGAGCAATGTGACGATGGACTTGAAAACGATCGGGAAAGTCCGTATGGTTTGGTGTTTCGAGTGGTGTAAACTCCACAGTTATCACTGCAAAATAGAGACAGTGACTTCAAAGTCAGTAGTGGATGGCTTTTCAAATCTCTGAAAGCCACAAGATCTCACCAATATTGTGAAACTGGTTGTGGTGTGGAGAAAGTTCCATCTGAATGGAACGAATGACTTCCTGAATTACGCAAAGTCTGTGGAGGAGTGGATAGTTTGACAAAACCCTTGGTTTCCTGCTGTAGCCCAACGAGCAACAGTCTTGGGTTGATTCGGGGGAGCTGAAGGAACGGGTGGTTGTCCTACAAATATTCTACGTCGAAATCGAGTTTGTCATTCCATTCACACAAAATTTGGTGTTCACGCAGGACGTGAGTATGACGTCCCAAGAGGGAGGTCCATCCTTCACCAACCTTATAGGGCAATTCGATATCTTGAATTTCGTTCCAACTGAAACCTCTGACTGCTTTTGTCCAGCAGGAGATGATCGTAAACGAGAAGGTCAGCTGAGAGTCCACCAACACCACCCTGATTTGTGATTGAGCATATAACCCGACTTCCTTCCATGTTTCCTGCTTTAAAAATGCGTGGCCTTCGGCGCGGAGTCCGTCGGCAGGCATAGACGACAAAAAAGTCTCCAAAGAACGTCTTTGCCGATCGAATACAACAAAGATGGTCTTTTATTCAGGCACAGCTCACCAGGATCTTCAAATGAATCGCATCTGTCCGTAATTCCTAAGCCATGCATACATCAGCCACTGGACCCCGGAGTCGCACAAGCGATCAGGCGGCGTTACATGAGGCAGTTGTTGTGCGAGATGGATTGAATACCATGAAGAATGGGTCATCGTGCACTTATACACGCTTTGCTATGGGTAACACTACCGTTTAGATAAATTAGTTAAATCAGGTCTCAGAGACCAAGAATTACTCCGCGTTGTTTGGGGAAGTCTGTCTTTGCACCACTAGACACGCCTTCTTGGCTTCTTGTTCAAACCACACCAAGTCCACGTGGAGGCAGGACAACAAGTTGTGAAATAGATGTCACCACCTGGCTTATTGAACTTGAAAACCACACGCCTCGTACGAGCTCAGCTGGGTTGTCTTTAAATCCTGGCCGACTTCACCGACCAGTGATCTGGTG